GGCGGCAGCTCTGGTCGCAAATGGAATTCAATCTGTTTCAATAGCTTCGGGCAGGACAGTGATCTGCTTCAACAGCTTAGGGAAGGACAGTGATCTGTTTCAATCGCTTCGGGTAGGACAGTGATCTGTTTCAATAGCTTCGGGTAGGACAGTGATCTGTTTCAATAGCTTCGGGTAGGACAGTAATCTGTTTCAACAGCTTCAGGCAGGACAGTGATCTGTTTCAATAACTTCGGGCAGGACAGTGATCTGTTTCAATAGCTTCGGGTAGGACAGTGATCTGTTTCAACAGCTTAGGGAAGGACAGCGATCTGTTTCAATCGCTTCGGGTAGGACAGTGATCTGTTTCAATAGCTTCGGGAAGGACAGTGATCTGTTTCAATAGCTTCGGGTAGGACAGTAATCTGTTTCAACAGCTTCGGGTAGGACAGTGATCTGCTCTCGTGTGTATTATTTGTTCGTCCGTCGAGCATCGACGAGGACCATCGAGTCGTCTGGTGACTGATGACTTGCGCGGATGACTTTATTTAAAGTGAAGAAGAGTTGCGCGGCGTCTACCTCACTCTCTCGCCCACCATATCCAGGGATGGGTAGGGTTGCAGGAATTGTCATTGTATGAGCCTTACGGGACTCCAACTCCGGGTTTGAATTCAGAGTTTCCTTCTCTTAGATGAGTTGCCGACCAATATTACGAGTCTCATCCCCCCGGGGTGATGTTTTTGCTTGACTGGCCTTTGGCTGGACTTGAACACCAGACCATCAACTTGAGGTTTGCTCAGCTTAGACCATTTGGCCACCCAGTCACCAGTGTGTATTATGAAGCTATGACGACCGCATTATCATCTCCACCGATTATTGTTATAAATGTAATAAATAGTCCACAAAACACTGATATATTTTATAAGCATTTTTCAGACGTTATACAAACATAAATTGGTTGAATGATAAAGTGGTACAATCAATCATCCTCGATTTATATTCAAATACATTACTTATTAAATTTCGAAATAAAATCTTCCTGGATGTGGGGAAAATGTTCACCATTAAATGTAGCCAGTAAAGGCATCAGTTTATATTGTTTTGTTATAATGACCTATGGGAGTTTTTAATAGTGTGTAAGCTGACGTCATTATGATTATGATGAACAAGTATGAGATGTGTTTGTTAGAAGAATTATTACCCAAGATGTGATTGAATAAGATTAAAAGAATTATTACCCAAGATGTCGATGAATTAAAGAAATTATTACCCAAGGTGTCAATGAATTAAAGAACGTATTACCCAAGATGTCAATGAATAAGATTAAACTTCAAGAAACAGCGTAAGGGGCAATTAAAAACCAAGTTGGGTGACCTCCCCTGCTGGCACTGTATTAAATTTAAAAAAAAAAAAAAAATATTTGGAAGTGGGGCGGAAAATTCAGTAATTAAGTAAAATTAATATTACTTTTTTTTTTAAAATTAGTTTTAGAAAGAAAAGATAAAACGATTTCTTGACAATAATATCTCTATAATTATGATTAGCTAATCATTCGTAACAGTATGACTACAATATAAAATGTCCGTTGTTTTACTTCATTCCAATGAACACACACACAGACACAAAATATATTAAAAACAATAATTTAAAAATCACCTGTCTATCCGTTTTCCGAAAAAAAAAACATAATTGGTGCCAATTCTACTCTTAGACTGTTTACCTCAGATCAAGCTCTACAATAAGACTGTTTAAACCAGATAAAGTAGTTCTCCGTTATTTATTATTATTATTACAGTGGTCTTATACACATGTCTGACCCATCTCTAAACAGTGATGTTTGATAACCTATTGAAGTTGTCATTGCGAAGGGCTACCATTGAGACATGACGTGCTTACTTGATCGCGGTAATCATGTGCAGTAGCATTGGAAATAAAACAGGTGGGGAGGGGGGGGATGTCACAAGTTTGGAAGTCCTCCCTCTGAGATATTAAGTCAAGGTTCACCACTGAGGGGAGAGTATCCTTATCTCCCGAGTTGAAGAGTTTCTTACCTTAACGGGCTCTACAATGACTAATGTGACTTTTAAGCCTGAGTTCACTCCATGTTTCAATAGAAGTCCACCAAAAGAAGACCTGCCTGTCTCCTTGTTGGCCATGTCTAAAACAGGGGTCACCAAGCTACGGCCCGTGGGCCTCACCCGCGAGTCCAGTTCATCCGGCCCGCTGACGGTACTTGGACATGCTTGATCAAATGTACAGAACACGAGACTTTGTGATAATTTAAATTTCAATATTATTTTTAGAATAAAATATTTTCAGCATAAAACAAAATGTATTTAAATAAGAATACATTTAAAAAACTGACACCAAGTAACGATTGTTTCTTTATAAAGGAAAATCTGGTTTGAAAAAATAGTAAAATAAGAATCAATAATAAATCAAGCATGTTATCGGTAATATACTATTGTCTGATGGCTACCGCAAATTGTAAATGGGTGAAAGAAAGAGGCGTGTCGTAAACAAAAAAAAAGGGGGGGTGAGAGGGACATTAAACATCGTAGTCGCCACTGTTAGAACTAACATCCCTTCGGCAAGTTTTAGTTGTGCGGAGAACAGAAGAACTTGGAGAGAACATCATGCTACAGATATGTGAGAAAGCTGGGAACTTGCTGTGGTATTCTCTGGCGCTGGATGAGTCCACTGATGTCTCGCGTACGTCACAATTTCTCGTGTTTAATTCTGGTGTCAATTTTGGACTTTCAGATAATGGAAGATTTGGCATCCGTTTGCATCATGCATGGAACAATGACTGGAAAAGACATGTTGATGGGTGAAATATAATGGCGGGAGTGATGAAAGGTCTTGTGGGGCAGACAAGGACTCAGTTGGAAGATTTGCAAATTCCGGGCGCTATGTTCATACACTGCATAATAAACCAGCAATCACTCTGTAAGAAAGACTTAGATTTGTCTTGTGTACTGAAACCAGTCGTTTCTGCTGCGAACTTCATTTGGGAACCTGCACACAATCACCGTCAGTTCCAGGCTTTACTTGAAGAAATTGATTCTGAATTCTGTGACTTGCCTTATCACACAGAAATGAGGTGGCCCAGCTGCGGTAAAGTCATGTTTCGTTTTTACAAACTATAAAACGAAATAGATAGAGCTGATCAACAGCAATTTATATCCTACCTGGCTGTCAGATCCTACATGCTGTCAGAGCCTACCTGGCTGTCAGAGCCTACCTGGCTGTCAGAGCCTACTTGGCCTTCAGATCCTACCTGGCTGTCAGAGCCTACCTGGCCTTCAGATCCTACCTGGCTGTCAGAGCCTACCTGGCCTTCAGATCCTACCTGGCTGTCAGAGCCTACCTGGCCTTCAGATCCTACCTGGCTGTCAGAGCCTACCTTGCCTTCAGATCCTACCTGGCTGTCAGAGCCTACCTGGCTGTCAGAGCCTACCTGGCTGTCAGAGCCTACCTGGCTGTCAGAGCCTATCTGGATTTCAAAATTGTAATTTTTAGTCGACATCACATCCCACATCAATGAACTGAACTTAAAACTTCAGGGAAGGGATGACCTCAACTGGGACCTCTACAGAATCATCAAAATGTTTTGGATAAGGTTGTTATTGAAGCACATCTGGGAGGAGAAACATTCCCATTTTCACTGTTTCAAACAGTTAAGCGCTACTAACGACGAAGTTGTCAACCTCGATTTCCCGAAAAAAAATTATTTGTGATTTGAAGAAGCATTCTTTGGGGAGATTTTCATATCTTGACAGAATGGGGAGATTTTCATATCTTGACGGAATGGGGAGATTTTCAAATCTTGTCAGAATGGGGAGATTTTCATATCTTGACAGAATGGGGAGATTTTCATATCTTGACAGAATGGGGAGATTTTCATATCTTGACAGAATGGGGAGATTTTCATATCTTGACAGAATGGGGAGATTTTCATATCTTGTCAGAATGGGGAGTGACATTCATGCGTTCCAGAATCTGTTTGATTGTAACCTTGATGATGTGCCGGTAGAACTACAGTTGGAGCTCATTAATGGCCAGCACATGATTTGTTGAAAGAGAAGCAGGGAGATGGCAAACTACTTGAATTTTACTGCAGCTGACCGGATGGTGAGTTTCCGAAACTGAAGAAATTTTGCCGCTGGTATGGCATCAGAGTTGGGAACAACTTTGGTCTGTGAGCAAACATTTTCAAAAAATGAAGCATGTGAAGTCAACCCATCGAACACGAATGACTGAACACTTGAAAGCCATTCTCTCGATTGCATGCAGCAATTCCAAACCTAACATTGATGATATCTCGAAAGCCAAACCTGGCTAATATTTTTTTTTTTTTTTTTTTGCTGCTTAGTTTGTGATATTCGTATGTATATGCGCACTAGGTCTGGTGTAACTGTCTTTAACGCCGTCTTCTCTGATACATTTGTTAGTAAATAAATAGTTTGGTTGTCTTTGCTTTTTCGTACATTGTACGCCACTCATCAATGATTAATATGGAAAACTAAACTTATTTTTTCGTCTTTTTTCCCCAGAGCTTTCGTTCAGGCTTGCAAGTATTGTACAAAATGATTATGCGGGACCACGCTCATCATTTTGTCTGTTATCAGGCCCACCGTGAAAAAAGGTTTGGTGATCCATGGTCTAAAAGGTTGCGCCCCCAACCTCTCCCTAAACCTATAAACAAACACACAGACAAAATGGTCAGGTATTATTCGACACTTCAGGGACGCTAAAGATATGACGTCGGTTTCTTGTTGAATGACGGATAAGAAACAAACTACCGTCTCCTCAAAGCTCCGACTCCAGGACGCCGTTGAAATAAAGTAAACCAAGAAAACAGTCGGGGGGTCACGTGGTGCTCAGTTCTAAAAATAGGATGGATGAGAAATAGAAACAAATCGAGCGTCATTAAGTGGCCGCTTATCAGCGGGTCTTACCATCATACCGTCCGGAGATAACACTCTGACCACACGCAAGCACATGATATCATCGCAATCAGAACATCGCCGTAATAGCTAGAGGGGGGGCGTGTGATTCAACAATAGACACCGATAAATAGTTATATTTGTTTTTTTTCTTTTTTTTTTTCTAATATGTTGTAATCGAAATAAATTCTGGAAATCATGCACTGCCTTGCCTCAGCATCGAACTAACGACAACTCTGGGTCTAAAGAAATGGGGAAGTTCACCAGCTGTGTGTTTCATATTGCCAATGAACGGCACGGCTATTGGCCCGGCGAACAGATTGAAGGTAAATAAATCTGCGTGATAACATAATGTACTAATTTTATAAGAGAGGAGTTCCGTTGTATCACAAATAAATAATTCTCGAAATATGGATGTGTGGCTGTAACGATGTGTGGTCAATAGGCGCGCAAAACAAAATTCCCCTAAGTTCGCTCTAATTGGGATTCTTATAAAGTGAGTTACTTGAATGCAAGTTTCGTCAAGTAACCGACGTAGATGGGAAGTTCACGCATTGCCAACAACTTTGTTTGTGAGTGTGTGTGTTTGGGGGGGGGGGTAATTTCTAGAAAGAACAATAGTTTTCTGGTACAAACAAACCACTGAAAATGTTTTATCAAACTGGTATGATTCGATTATTAAATTTTCTTATTTGTGTTTATTTTCACACGTTACTCATTAAAAAAGATAAAGTCAATTAAATATTTTGAGTGAAACTTTGATAATTTCTAGAAATAAATCTATCTGTTTGCTAGTTCTAATTTCCACCATTAAGCCGATGTCAAGGCATAGTTTATGTCATCTAGAATGTCAATTGGGCGTTTGTTTTAAAGACATGAAATGTGAAATGTGTCATAAATCAATGAGTTGTTTCATGTTTCATAAATAGATAAGTTATTTCATATGTTTGTAATCATTTAGTTATTTAATGTGTCAGTAATCAATGAGTTATTTCATGTGTCAGTAATCAATGAGTTATTTCATGTGTCAGTAATCAATGAGTTATTTCATGTGTCAGTAATCAATGAGTTATTTCATGTGTCAGTAATCAATGAGTTATTGCATGTGTCAGTAATCAATGAATTATTTCATGTCTCTGTTGGTGTTTTTTTTTTTTTAAGTGTTTGTGTTAATTGTTTTGTTTAAATTAGTCTTGAAATGAATATCCCTTTTTTTTTTTCAACTCAGGTCAAGTGTCCATTGAACTCACCAAAGATGTTCGAGTCAGCGGCGTCTTCATCTTCCTGTTTGGCGGCTGCCAAATCAACTGGCACAGAAGTGATTCCGACATCGGGTCCGAAACCTACCTCAACAGGTACATCTCTATTTTCGGCAACAAACCCAAGGAAGCAGCGGGACATTACTCTCTCACCGCAGGACAACACGTCTTCCAGTTTTCCTTCACAATGCCTTCAACAGGGCTTCCGTCGTCATTTGAAGGCTACTACGGCTGCATCAGGTACTGGCTCAGGCTGAACTTCGAGCTCCCATTTCCAAAACTGGATAAGACGTGGACTCACTACATTTCTGTTGTGTCTAGAATCCCCGTGCACACACCGCACGGTTTGCTCCCGGTGACTGCCAGGAATGAGAAACAAGTCTCAAAGGCTTTCGGCATCGGGAATATCGGCAAGATCACATTAGACGCCTCAACTAATAAGTCAGCCTTCTGTGCAGGGGAGACGATTCTTGTTGAACTGGTAGCGCAGAATGAGACCAGCAAAGATATGGGTGTGGTCAGGGTGACTCTCGTGCAGAGGGTCACGTATTCCACAGGAGGGTTCAAACATGTGTCTGTTCCCAAAGATCTGAGGACCATTCAGTCGACGAAACTTCTCGCGGGTCAAGTGATACGCTGGGAGGGGGAACCGCTGGAGATTGACCTAGTTCCGCCCAGCAGCAGTACTCCCAACAGCAGCCGTCTGCTGAACGTGCAGTACTATGTCAAAGTTGTTGTGGAGGTTCCGTTGGGTTTCAACCTGGACATTCGCCTGCCAATCACGATAGGGACGGTGACTCCAAGCGGGGCGGGCTTCGTCAAGTGTTCCCACGGGTTCTCAAAGTTCCCATACTGCAACGGCAATTATGAAGTCACCGATTACGTCCCAAGCACAGTTTGCATTGATGTCAGCGAAGGTGGTACAGAAAGAGCTCGCGCGACCCGATGTAAATCTGTCGAGGGTACCCACGATGAATATCGTTTAGGAGATCAAACCATGAAGCTGTTAGGACCTTTAGGGCATCTTGAAGAGGTTGCTATTGACAGTGATCAGATCAGTGGAAGTCACAACATTTATGGCGCCACTGCTTCCCCAAATGATCTGACGGAAGACGCGCCTCCGAGTTACGATGAAGTAGTTGGTGGTGGGGAGTTCGAAGAAACTTTTGACCACAAAGGGTCAATTCTTTTAATTCGCTTTCCCCTGCGCGATCTTAAATCCGTCAAAAGCTTTTTGATACGACATAGGGAATCCCTGAAACCGTTGGATGGTCACATGATCAACTTCAGCCCATCGCCATTTCTGAGATATTTCCACTTTCCTTGGCCCCAGCTGACGTCCGCAGCTGTCTTCTATTTCGGCACACAAGAAAAGTCTGAGAAATGGCTGGATCAGCTGGTCACAGCTGAACCATTACTGACCAGCACCTGGTCGGCTATTATAGCAGAAAACAGCACAAGGATACAAAGGCCGAATTTACAACATCAGACCCTACAAATTACCATCACCATGTTCAAAAAGCTTGCGAAATCAGAGCAACAGCCACAGAGTGGCCATGACAAATTTTATCGCTCTTCGAGAGAAGATCTAGGCAGACTAGTAGTGTATTCCGTGAAACCCAAGTTTCTTCTCGGACATTGGTCTGAGCACAACGGTCACTATCAACCTAAGTACAACGTTCAGTATCAAAATGAGGCAGAACATTTGACAGGAAAGGTACACGACAAATTAAGCACACATACAAATTTTGAACAGTCTGAGAAAAAAGCTGGCAACCTCACGTTTCCCGAACGTGTTGAGCTGGTTGCCCCAGTCACGCGTGGCGTCTCTGAGCCTGTCCTGTCTGGGGAAATTAGAGGCATTCAGTCTATCAGCATAAACTCAGAGTACATAAATTGTGAGGAGGACACGGCTGTGACTCCTGCACTAGGTTATCCAACTGCTTGCCATGTGGCAGTCGATCTGATAGAAGACAGCATGGCGGACATGAACTTAGTTCCCAGAGAGGAAGAACCCGAGACAGTGGTCAGTGTTGTCTGCTATCAATATCCAGATATGACCAAATACTTGGACCTTGCGGCCAACGTTTTCGACCAGGAGCTTCCCGAGACACTGGAGAAAGCTGAACTTCTCGGGATGAGCGTCACCTCCGTTATTTTACCAGGAAGATCTTTGTGGTAGTGTGTTCACTGTGGTAGTTTGTTCACTGTGGTAGTGTGCTCACTGTGGTAGTTTGTTCATTGTGAAAGCATCATTTTTGTTGTTAATATATGTTGATTGTTGATTCATTGCAAATTTTATGTCATTGTGCTTGCCATATCATTATGATAAATATGTGATGTGTGCTTTTATTTTTAGGACACGTGAAACCGATCTGTTACATGAATGACGATGAACGGGGCCTGAACGTGTTCAATTCCCCTGAAGACATTCTTTGAATGCATGATTACATACAATCTTGTTCATGTCTTACTCTTTGGTGTAATGACATCATGAGGGTGAAGTGGTTGTATCATAGGCCGATAATGCTATCAGAGAGAAAGAGAGAAAAAGAGAGAGAGAGAGAGAGAGAGAGAGAGAAGGAGAGGGAGAGAGAGAGAGAGAGAGAGAGAGAGAGAGAGAGAGAGAGAGAGAGAGAGAGAGAGAGAGAGAGAGAGAGATAGAGAGAGAGAGAGAGAGAGAGAGAGAGAGAGAGAGAGAGAGAGAGAGAGAGAGAGAGAGAGAGAGAGAGAGAGAGAGAGAGAGAGAGAGAGAG